TTTTCTTCGTTTTTTAGTAATAAAGCATAGACTTGCCTGGATTCGCCAAGATTTGATCAGTTTCTCTGGCCTCAGACACCTCGCGAAGACCCTGAACCAACTTATTATACTCATCCCTAAGACGATTTGTGTCTTGCTGCTTGACTTCGGCCACTCTTTTGCTCAGAAATTCAACACCTTGATGACATTTGTCCAGAGACCGACGAGAAATCACACAGCTCATAGACTCTATGCAGACGTTGTCTAATAAAATTAAAGAAATTATGTACTGTTAAAGAAATAAGGTTAAAGTTTGCTTTTAGGCAAATTAGAATGTATATGGAAAGGAGTTAATATGATTGCTTCACCTACCGATGTTGTGCGCCTCATCGAAAACGATAACCGAGCTAGGTGGCAGATCTTTTGAAACCAGGTTAGCAATCTTCGGGTCCAATAAGTAGTAATAACTATATACAATTATATTTGCATGCATAATCTAAAAATTATGTATAGATAAATAAAAGAAAATAAAATTCTGAGGGGAAAAATATTATAAATGCATGAGTTCAAAAAAATTACTTGATATAAACGAAATAATATCAAGACGCCTCTTCTAAAAGTTGCTTTATCGGGGATCATAACTCATTAATTCATTTAAATTCACTAGGAAAAGCAGTCTGATCTTAAAATTTTATTTAAACAATTTAGTGCCGGTAATGGACGAAATACAACACTGGTAGTACTTGTTTTTCGTATAAATATTAATAAATATAAAGCTACAAGGGTCATATAATGCAAAATTTCCTCATCTGATGAATACAAAAACCAGATGGAATAGGGTTTTAAAGTAAATACAAAGGATTAGAAAAAATCCGAACGACAAACACTACTTTATGAATAAGCATAGTGACATCTAATCCCAAAAGAAAATCCGGACTTTCACATGAAAATAAGGTTACATTTAAACTCAAGCATAATATAGAAATTTATCATAAAAATAACTTAATATGACGACTATGTAGATCACAACTTAAAGCAAACGAAAATTATGTTAAGCATGAAAAGGAAATTTACCGACACTTTCAAGCATTCAAAATCATGATATCAGGAAAGAATAAAGACCAAAATACTTAGACTTGAACTTAGGTAATCCTTTATACCTTTTAGGTTCAGGGATTATGTTTCCCAAAGGATAAACGATTCAAAATTAAAATTAAGCACGTGGTTTCATAAAGGATGAGATATACTTTAATAATTGCGATGATAAATTTTTTCAGCGAACTTACTAAATGAATAAAAATTCAAAAATTACTTATTTTATTATCCCTTAATAGAAAAAAAGATGCAAGTGGAAATATAGTATGAAGAATAACGGAAATGGACTCACGGAATGTCG